TTGCAGAGGGAAGGAATGATCCTGAAAGAGAGAGACCGAATTCAGACAGCATAATAATTCACACTGAAAGGTTAATTCTTATACCTTTTTCCTGAAAAGAACCTGAGCTGGTGTACGTAATCATCCTTCTCCCATATATCCCCTCTCTGAGGAGTTCCTGACTGGCCCAGAGTCACACAGCGAGTGTCATAGCTGAGTGGGGATTAGAACCCGGATCTAATTATAGACCATTATATCTCACTGGCTCTCAGTTGAGTGTGAACTGAGTGTGGGCTAACATTAAACCATAGGTGGAGGCTGCAGCGTAGATTATTGTGTCTGAACCCAATCAAGATAGCAAACCATGGTGAACAACCCACAATTCACAACACAACCACAAATCTTGACTTTTCTTCATGGGTCGCTCATGGGTAGCAAGCTGTGAGCAACAAAAAGCAGGTTTAAAATAACAAAACTTTTGGTGTGCGTGCATGCGTATGCGCAAGAACACACACTCGCAGACACAATCATAGTATTCTTATTTCACTTTCTGTTGTTTGCTGACCTCATTTCGAATGTCCAAATTTCTAATTCTGAGGCACATAATGAGGGGCTCTCCAGTCTCTAATGACCATTAATGACCCCCTATTTCAACTCTGGATTTAATAATTAAAGCAATTAAGCCTAGAGTCCAATTAAATCTTGAATTAAACAATTAAATCTACAGTTTCCCCCGTCATTGGTGCACCATTTCTTCCCCCACTGGCGAGGAAAGTGGATAGGTTGGCTATTATTTAAAGATTCGCAACTGTCCCAACATCTGGTCTGCACGGCCTCTCCCGAGAGGTCCCGGGGATTTAAGAACAAAACGGAAGCCTTCTGTCCCTTTCCTCGTCCAAATGTGGAAGCTGGGGGCCTTTTAGCACTGGATTCCTTTCAGTAGCACTCTCATGGCCCCCTGGCAGCTTCTCGTGGGGTTAGTTCCAGTTCCTTGATCCAAACTCTGAAAGAGCACCCCAACCTTGAACTGGGCCAAAAGAGACGCGCTCCAACGGAGCCAAGCTCAGGGAACCCAGGTTTCATTTAGATGCCAGGAAGCACTCCTGACAATCAGGACCCAGAGGGTGTGGAAGGGGCTTCCATGAGAGGTCATTGAGGCCCCATCGGTGCGGGTGTTCAAAGATAGGCTGGACATGCACATGGTGGGCATGTCATGAGCGGAGCTGGCTGGAGCCAGGGGTCAGACTAGATGGCCTGGGAGGCCCCTTCTGGCTCGCTCTGTTTCTATGTTTCTGTTTTTCCTACTCTCTCTTGAAGCCACCCTCCAAGCTCAGGGAAGGGACCTCAGAGCGGGGAACTGCCTGCTTCTGCCGTCTCCTGTAAGCCTCTGAGCCAATATTGCACCCTTAAGGCACTAATAAGCTCATTGTCTAATTCTGCTCCCTCTGTTCCACCCCCCAAGGACGGCCTCTGATGTTTCCCTGAAGGCTAAGCTCCCCCTTAGAAGCCTTCCTCCCCACCAAATCAGGGGAGCAGAGCGGGCCCTTTCGGTGGCGGCTCCCTGGCAGTAGAAATCCCTCCCTGGTCCTTACACTGCAGCTTTTTAGCCTGCCAGACAAAGGCCTCTTTATTCTGTGACTTTTTAGCCCTCCTGTTTTGTACAGTGATGCTGCTGCTGCTTTATTTTGTCGTTTATCCCTTTGTATCGAGGGGTGTCTGGCTGTGTTCTAGAGGATGGTTTTAGCTCTGTTTTGTGAACTGTCCTGAGATCTCCAGTGATCGGGCAGGATACAAGTACAGGGAATCTCATGAGTTTGCAGCCTGGTGTAGAATGATGGGACTTCTCGCTTCTGATTGTGAGAAGGGGTGGCAGGTCATGAATCGGAATGAAAAGTGCCTGTGGTGAGCGCACACTCGGGAGAGAGCTGCTCATTAACATTATGTTTTATCTACTAGTATGCTGCAGAATTGGCAGTGGAAGGAACATCTTAAAACATGATCTTCCCAACCCGTAACTCGAAGTCGTGAACCCTGGTATTCTTCACCCTCCATCCTCTACCTGTAGTGAAGGTAGAGTCCTGGTGTACACTTACAGTGGGAGGAGGTGGTAGAATCCTGAAGAGGGAGAGATGACCGTACCACTTCAGCCTGGGGGAGGGGGAAATTAGTATCTCCTGTAAGTACCCTAGGAAATAAAACCATCTAAACCTTAGTGCATCATGAAGAAGATCTGCCGCCCTCCCCTGCCTCCTTCCTATGCTACCTACCTGAAAAGTATTATATATTATATAAAATACATAATATTTATGTATGGGTGCATTTATTTTATTCATTCGTTATATTTATAGCCCACATTTTTTCCTTCAAGAAACCCAAGGCAACTTAAATAATCCTCCTCCTCTCAGTCTTATCCTCACAACAACCCTGTGAGGTGGGTTAGGCTGAGAGTCCATGACTGGCCCAAAGTCACCCGGTGAGCTTAGTGGCTGAAGGGAGACTAGAACCTGGATCTCCCAGATCTCTCCTGGATCTCTAGTCCAACACTGAGTATCCTGCTGTTTGCAGCCCATTTTTCATCTTCTTCTACCACAGTAGAGCCCTTATTGCCTCATTCCGGACCGTGAGAGGCAGTGTTGTGTAGTGGTTAGAGAAACCCTCAGGAAATTGTCGTCATTGCCAACCGTTCGGTCATGTCCAACCCTTGGCAACTCTATGGATCGTTGTGCTCCGTGCCTCTCCGTCTCACACCGCTTCCTTCAAGGACCTCTGTGCCCATCCCAGTGTCTGTCTTTATGGTGTCCAGCCAGTGGGTGCTGGGGCAGCCCCTTCTCCTTCATCCTGATCACTCCCAGCATGATTGGCTTTTCGAATGAGTCGGCTCTCACATGACCCAAGTATGGCAGTCTTTCTTTGGTGATCTTGGCTTCAAGTGATATTTTTGGTGAGGCTCAGACAAGGACTTCTTTGTTCGTGATTTTTGCAGACCGTGGGATGCGCGGTAGTCGTCTCCAGCAACACAATTCGAAAGCACCCACCCTTCTTCTATCTGCCTTTTTCAGAGTCCAAGTTTCATAGCCAAACGTGGCAATTGGAAAAATTATTGTGCCAAGTAGTTTGCATTTGGTAGAGAGGCTGATGCCTTTACTCTTCCAGACGTTATTCAGGCTGGACGTTCCATTTCTTCCAAGCGCTATGCGCCTTCTGATCTCAGGACTGTGGTCACCACGTTGGTCAATTTGAGACCCCCAGGAGTTTGAATTCCTTTCCTGTTTCACTGTCTCGTTGTCAGTCTGCGCTCTGACCTGTGTGGTCTCTGCAGTCGTCATTATTTTTGTTTCCTTGATGTTAAGGTGCAATCCACATTTTTCACTTTCATTTTTGACTCTAAGGATTAGCCGCTTCAGATCTTCCTTGCCTTCTGTGAGCAGAGTTGTATCATCTGCATATCAGAGGCTGTTGATACTCCTAACGCCAATTTTGGCCCCAGTGGTAGTTTCTTCCAAATGTGCATCTCTCATAACTATTTCTGTCTATATGTTGACTAGTGGAGGTGACAGGATTGTCGAGTGTCTTTTCCAATTCTGAACCACTCAGAGTCTCCATATTCCGTTGTTACAGTGGCTTCCTGAGCAGAGTACAGTGCCTGAAGGAGCTCGATGTGGTGTGTTCATATTCCCAGTTCTTTGAGTCAGTTCCAGAACTTGCCATGAACAACACGATCAAAGGCTTTGGTGTAGTCAAGGAAACACAGGTGGAGCTCTTTTTGGTATTCCTTTGCCTTTTCCATCATCCAGCGTAGATGGGCAATGTGATCGCACATTCCTCCCCCTTTACGAAATCCCATTCCTACATCAGGCAGTTCTCTGTTGGTGGCTGGGTTCAAATGTTTCCCGGGTTCAAATCTCCACTCAAGCCATGAAGTTAATTGGGTTACATTGGCTCCGTCAACCTCATTTAGTCTATCCTCCCTCACAAAGTTGTTGTGAAGAAATTGCAGGCTTCCCTGTGTTACTTTGTACTAGTTGGAAGGTGGCATCAAGATGGTGATATTGGCTGTGGATAGTGGGAACTGTAGTCCCACAGATATAGAGGGCACCAGGTTGGAGAAGCCTCCACTAAAATGTAGTAGACATGGTCCCAAAGTGCCTTTGGATATATTCCGTGATGTTTAAAGCGTATGTTTGTCAGTCTTCTGGTGCAAAGTTCCTCTCTCCAATTTTATTTTAAAAGAGAATTTACTGAAATGCAATCATAGAGCATGCTGCTAAGGGCAGGGCAGAAACCCGGGTTTCTGTTTGTTTATTCAAATTTCATTTGAAGATGGGTTGGTTAGTGGAATGGCATGCTACATTGCTTGGTGTACCGGTCTGTTAAATGGGCCCATTTGGGCTAACCTGGCCTTGGTTTGCACAAAGACTTCCCTCCCTCCAAAAAGTGAGAGTTGAGATTCTCAGGGTATTTGTATCCAGGATACAAGACGCAACCTTGAGTGACCTGCAGTTTTCCACGGTCATCTTCAAGCGTTCCCCAACCTGGTACCTTTCAGACCTTTTGTACTACGGCTCCCAGTACCTCTGGTCATAACTATGCAGGCTGGGACTGATGGGAACTGAAGAGGGAGTGCTGTGCTTTTAAATTTCCAGACCAAGAAAGCATGCCCAAGGTCTGACAGGTTCAAGCAGAACCAGTCTTTCTCAGGCAGTCTGGGGTTTGTGCTTTTCAGTCACAAGCACAGAGACTGCTTAGGTGCTGGAGGTTTGGGCAAGAACCTGCGTTTCTGTGAGAAGAAGGAGGGAAAGTCTTTCCAAAGAGCACAGTTCACTTGCGGGAAGAGCAGAGCGTTGCAATCGGCAGCCACTTCCCCTGCCTACCATCAAGGCTTTAGCGCAGGTGGACAGGCAGGGCCGGGTGCCAAATTCTTTTGGTTTACAGGGAGGGGTGGGAGGGAATCCTCTGAACCGCTCCTAGAAGTGCTTAACTTTCCTCTTTCAAATGAGGGACACGCAGCTCCGTTCTGCTTCAGACACTCCGGGAGAATGCCAGGTTTGCAGATGTCTTCCTAAAACAGAACAGCAAATTTTACGCTGGCAAGCATACTGGGGAGAGAAGAGTTGTCGAGGTATGTCAGATCATCTCCCATTCCCCTCTTCGTTGTTTTTCTGAAAGGGTATCTGGAGTTTATGCTGTGGATGTATCCAAGTTTATTCAATTACAGGGAAGCATCCGGTCTTCTCTGTACAGAGGCTGAAAATAATGTTTCCAGCCTGCCTGAAGCACCGTAGTAGGCTTGCTGTTCTCGGCTACCCTCTGCCCCAATCATCATTCTTCCTAAATTGCTGTTCGCCTTTTTTGATTAGCTTTGAAAATCTTTCCTGAACACTGGTATCTTGGCTGGAAGTCAACTCAATGTTTATAGGAATATCTCCATGTTCTGCGTGTTTTCTGCAAGCTGGATTTGAGGTTTAATTCTTTGTAATTTGTGGAGAGCATGGGTAAAAAGTCTTTGAAGTATCTCGTGTTTGTGTCTTAGTGTTTTTTGGCAGCTTGGATTTTTGCATGTGTCAGCTGTGCTCGGCAAGCAGGCTTCACTTTCGGGGTTTTAAAATATCCATTTGTACGGGTGGATCCGTGGATTTTCTTAACGGTTTGCATTGGCTGCCAACTTGTGAATTAACAACCATGCTGAGCAAAAACTCATCTGGAGTTTAACGCTGCTCCTACTTGATGCGGTCCTTTTAATGCTTTTAAGGTGTTCGGTCCCTCAGTCCCCAGGGCACACATCTGTCTTTACCTGTGGAAAACAAGAACCCACCTTGTAACCATGATGTCACTGTGATGTGAAATCCAGTTTGGAATACCCAGTCCGTGGTTTTGTGTCGCTTTTCTGTGTGGTTTTCTTTACAAATTGGATCATAGGAAACAAACATGAGACTCGGAAACTCCGGTGCTTTCTCTTCTCACAGAGCAGTGCCAGGCATGTCTATGCAGAAGTAAGTCCCACACAATTCCATGACAATTTTAGGTGAGGGTTTTCAGCCTTCATTTCTTGTTTGTGCGTCTAAATCCTTTTCATGGTGAAAAGGATGCTTATTTCTGATGGTACAGAATGGCACGTGTGGTTATGTACTCAACCATCCATCAGTATAACATTTCCTTCCATCAGCTGAGCTCCTTGGAGAGACCAGAATAAATTCTTTCACTCTTTTACTTTGGCGCAACAGCTGGAAAATCACCTGTTTGTTAGCCATTAAGGGATTTTGTGTTTTTCAGCTAATTCTTTTAATAAAAAACAGCTAGATGTAAGTTATTTAATAAGAATCATATTCCATAGAGTACAGATTATTTAAACTATCCATTCATGCTTGGATTTGGGGTTTCTTTAAGTGATGTCAAAGTTAAAGGTGACAATATTTTGTTTTCTTCATTGGGCACATTTGAAATTTCTGAGCCGCAGCTCCCTTGTGAAAGTCTGCTAGTGCGTTTCTTCTCCACTAACCTGATGGGGAGGGGCATCTGTTTATTTGTTTATCATGTTTGTGTGCCACCAACACTACTTCGTTTTGTCCAAGGATCTCAGATTACTGTTCAAAGGTTTATTTAAGACTGTGCAAAATTCAGATGGAAAAAGATGAAGCCTCTCTGAAAATGTTCTCACCAATGTTTTGGCTGAGCATTTTCTATGTAGGCAAAATTCAGGGATTACCTAGGGATCTCCAGGAAGTCAGACCATTATTCCCTCCTTGAGAATTTTCTAGAGTTACTGGAACTTAGTTTGCCTTGAAATTCCTCACAACTTTCATGTTACAGCATACTGCAGATTTCGCTTTGAATTGTGCTTCCGGCATTTCTTTCGCTATTCTAGGTTGCTTCTTATTTTACAAGAAATTGTTTCATATCATAAAATGATGGTAGACAAAGCAAATAAGCAAGACTTTTATTATGTCTGCATTTATTTCTTGATCTTGATTTTACGATGTCATAAATGTGCATGCTTTTTTCCCCGTCTCCCTTTTTTCTTTTTTGGCAGAGCAACATTGAAAAAAAAATGTTTGCAATGCCAAAAGTGTTAGCAGTTTAAATTTGTAAAGGGGTTGGGAGGAGCGAGAAGAGGAGAGCAGAGGAGGAAGGCTGGATAAGAAGGGGGTAAGTTAACGTGCACTGTTCTGTGCACTTCGTCTTCAATGGACTGGTGCTTTGGAAGGACAATTTATGCCAAATTTGGGTAGCGTTCCCTGCCAAAGCCTTCACTTCCACAGTATGGGTTCCTTTACAACCACAAAATCATATTTTCCCATGTAGATGCTAATAAATGTAACCTTAGTGATTTTAAAAGCACATCACAAATACTTGGAATAATTCTAAGGATTTTGGAGCTCTGTACACTTGTGCAGAGTTAATTCCAGCACCTAAGAAAGCTGGTCTTCTGACAGCCCCATAACCTCATCTGGGAGCTGAACATCTTCCACTGAATTCAAGATTTGCCAGCGAGAACTTGTTGCTATATTGTTCAACAAGAACATTTGTACGCAGTACTTCGAATGCTCAAAGTGCTGTAGAAATGCTTGTTCTTCAGTTACTACAGTTGTATCAATAGCAGTTTGTGCAGGTTTCTTGATATCTCCGGAGCAAAGGAAATAATTGTTTTCCTAAGAAAAATCCATGTGTCCTTCCTGCCCTACCAGGCCACCCCTTGCCAAGCATAGGACTCAGGTGTGTGATAAGGTCAGTTGAACCCCATGGATCTTATCCCCATTTCCCATTTGGCCAGAGGCTCTCTTGGTGCTCTAATCTCTCCCCTGCTGCGCCCAGGCAAAAGCCGGCATTTCCTCTTGACTGAGTGGCCCTCTGTGAAGTTCACCACAAAGCCATCGCACCGCCTGGAGCCCTTGGTTCCAGGGCTAGCTAGCACCCCATGCTGCTGTTGGAAGGAGAATTCATTCTGCTACGCTAACATGCCCACTGTCTTGCTGAGCGTGTCTCCTTCCGGGGCCAAGGTTCCGATGAGGAGAGCCCCCTTTGGCAAACCACGCTCCTGCTCTGTTGACTGAGGACAACACAGATGAGTTTCATGCCTTCGCATTTGTCCAAAATCGTGTTGGGCTTTTTGTCTTCTGTGGGGCCTGCAAAAAGATGTTGCATTGTGGGGTGGTGTTCCTGGTCAGGCTTCCACCAGCCAGCCATGCTCTCTTCCAGGAGGCTGCATTCCGTCCCCACGTCCACACCACCACGCAGCATCCTCGTGGGACTGTTCCACCCCTTGCGGGGATTTCCAAAGTATGTTTCTACTGCAAAGCTGTTTGGGCCACCGTAAGTCAGCATCTGAGTACACCAGAAGCAGTGCTAAAAGAACTGGCGCCCCCCGTCTTTGTGAGGCCCTCTGCCCCACCACCCTTTTGTCCCTGGGCATTTGCTGAAGTGAAGACATGGGCCCCTGATGATCTCTGTCGCATTTGATCTCCTGGAATTAGCTGCCTTTTTCTCCCATATACGTCACCTCTTGCTGTCATGCGCATGGATTTTTCTGCAGAAATTTTTCTGCCGTTGCTCCATCCTTTTTTATGAATAGCAAGGTCCTTAAGACTGGGTCGTTTACAGACACACAGACAGACTTTAGAGCTATGCAAATCAGTATATGCATGTTTTCCCTTTTTGTTTTGTGGGTGTGAGTCCTGAATCTTTTCAGGACCTAACATGGCCCCTGAAATGCCCTGTAATGCATGCAATACACCCATGTTCCACATCTCCAGCCTGAGGTTGTTTAACAAGAAGGAGGAATGCTCGGGTAATTCACTCTACTGAGTTGTTTCCTTGTTTGTTCTCTGGATTTACCCAGTTTTCTCATACTTAAATGTGAACCTAAACACAACTTGTGACTGGAAATCTGTCACAAGAAATTTCCAAGTATGCAATGTGTACGTTTTCACAGGACACTGCAATTCCTGCTTTCCTTTCATGTATTTTATTATTGTTCATGGTGAAGCAGCAATGTAAAACAAAGCTACTGAAAGGAAAACAGTAATGAAAACCTGCCTACTAGGAGTAAAAACTTACTGATTGAAGCAATTAAGGAGCAATTCAGCAGCAATGCTACAGCCATGTTGGGACAGGAAATAGAGACACCGTGATGGAGAAGCTTCTAATTAAGCCTGCAGTAGTCCTTGGCAGAATGAGGCATCCTTCCAAGAATAATTATAGGAGGATTCTAGCCACAGGGGTGGGCATTTCTGGACAGTACAGAAGAAACTAAAGTGCCATGTGGAATGTCTGATCTTGGAAGCTAAGCAGGGCTGGGCTGGGTTGAAATCTGGATGGGTGACTTGAGTCTTGCACTGAGCAAGACTGAGTTGGACGTGATGGCCTGTTAGACCCCTTCCACCTGTGCGATTCTATGTCGTTTTAATACAACTTCCAGTCAGTTGTGGATATGCAATGCCTTAACATCACTGCAGGGCCCCAGCATGGGAAAAGTGTCCTCGGCACTATTAGCTACTACAAATAATTGTAAGGTGGCAGCAAGTGGTGAACGTTACCATTTCGAATTGTTATTATCCTGTTTTTATCTGGTTTGCTTTCAGCTTGCACCTGTTCAGCAATGTAAAGGTGGGGTAGATTAGAAATGAAGATAAATTGTAAGCATAACTAAAGGGAAATATAGCATTTATTGTATTCTTTTGACTGTAATCCACCGAGAGAACATCCCATTGGGCAGATTAAAAATATAATACAAATGGGTTGGGATTCGGTTTCGCATTTTACCATGCATTGAAAGGAATCCTGCTTTTGCCATTCTAGCCAACTTGACTGTGAGTACCAAGAAGCAACTAAAATACATTAAAACTTACATTAATGTATATTGACCTTTTAGAAGTGCACTCTTAGAATGCCATTGCCTAAGAATAAATTATGTATAGGGTTTTCTTTACTATGGAATTAGATACAGTTTCAGTATAATTTAGATTTTTTTAAAGTCCTTACTATTTTGGGGTTCATTGAGGTACAGGTTTACATGTATAAGTAAATAAACACCACTTTGATTCATTTGAATGTTCAATTTTCTTAATGCTTTGGGCACGCCTGAGACCCTTTGGGTGCATTTTGTGGGTCTCCCCTGCCACTGAA